CCAGATGGATGGATAATGCAAACAATCAATTTGCAGCTCCCACTGGGCAGAAAATGATGCATTCAGTTCATGGGTTTTAATTTGTTTGATCTACAGCACACTACAAGTGGGGAGAGGAATTTCTTATCCTCAGTCTAACATATTTTTTAAATCTGCATTTTGGCTATCAGTCTGTATGTGCGTCTTTGCTATGTATGTGTTTTGCGGGCAGAAGATCATACCTCTGCAAAACTTGGTTGACAATTATAATGCAGATAATGCTAGAAATAATATGTAATCCCAGCAAATATGAGGTGTTAGTACTGAAGGACAAAGTAACTTAGTGTTTCATTAAAATAACCAGTTGTTTTAAAGTTTATTCATTCTTTAGACAATTACTTTGTCTTGTGAGTTTGGCTTGACATCTATAATGCAGTCTTTCTAGAAAAAAAAAAAAAAAAAAGAAGTGTCACATTTACATACTGCACTACTTACTTTTTAATGGGTATTTGAATAGGTAGTCTCAGATTTATTCCAGCATATAGTGCTGCTGATTTGACTTTCATCAGTGTTTAAAGGCTGTTGAGAATTACATTTTAAAAATCTTAAATATTGATCGTTCCTTGCTGCTTCTATGGAATGACACTTTTCTAGAGGAAAGAAGCAACAAGGAATAGAGCCAAGTGATCAAATATATATATACAATAAAAAAACAAACAAAAAAACCCCAAACAAAACAAAGCACAGCAAACCCCAAAACACATACAAGTTGTTGACAGTGTCAAATTCAGATGTGAATTTTTCAGAATTTAGAAATATTTATCTTTGAAATAAGAACCTTTTCTGTAATACACATTTTCAGTGTTACTGCGCATCACCAGCTGTGGTATATTTGACTGATAAGAGGGTACTGCATATTGTTGCTTTACCTTAAGAACATGCAGAGAGCTATCATCATCTTTGTTTTGAGATTGCTAGCAACAACAGATACTCATTTGGGGAAACAAGTCCCCCAAGTGTATTTGCCTCAGAAATATCTGCTGTCTTGCTGCTGTGTGGAAATCCGCAACGGCAGACATCAGTGCTGTGCCAGTGGTAGGAGGCTTGAGCAAACAAAGCCAAGGGGCCCGGCGTGCGCCCCGACTTGGTGTGGGGCAAAAAGGGGCTGGGGTCGCCCTGCTGTCCGCGGCCAGCGTGCTGAAGTCGGAAACGAGGAGTGAAATGGAGCCGGGATACTCTATTTCTTTTATTTTTATTGGTTTCTTTTTTTAAACACGACTTACTAAAAGAAAGGAAGTACATGTCCGATGTATTTCTTGGAAGATGGCTTTGTATTTCTTGGTTATCTTACTATCCAGAGAACATTCATTGCCAGGTCCATCATAACTATATAACATAAATCCAGATCCCGTGAAGATCTTTGTCGCGTGTTTTAGATGCAAACTCTGTAACATTCCAGTATTTTTTAAACACAACGTAACAGGTTACCTTTAATGGAAAGCTATCAGACGTCATTGGAGGAATGTGCTTGTTAGGAGATTACCGTCAGAGTTCGTAGAAACAAATGCTGACCCACCTCTTTAGTCACTGTGCCTTTTTTTTACACTTGTGAGTTATCATTTCGGCTAGAACCTCAACTTTCCTAGTTGTAACAATTGTTCATCTCTTCTTCTTCCTCTTGGTCCCATCCTCAAGTAGGTATAAGAAAAAAAAATAAGACCGTATCCAGCATTTTGCTTGAGGTAGCAAAGGTCTGGAATGACAGGTACCGCTCAGGTGCTTTGGTGGAGCCACCGGGATGGTCAGGAGGCCGGGCACCCGCCTGTGCCGCACCCAGCCCGGCCGGCAGTGACTCACCGGCACAGGCAGCCCAGGCTTTGGGGCCGGACGGTTCAACTGCTCCTGGAATTAAATTGTCATGAGTTGACCAGTTAAATCTTCTTTGTTGTTTCACCCCCTCTGTCGCTGTTAAGAAAGGAATCGCTTCGCACCAAGGAGCATGCAGAATTGAGGGGAAAAAATTAGGTTGTATCCACTTGGCATTAAACAAAATAACAAGCGTTTTCTGTGGTCCACGTTAAGTTTTGTATATGAAAAGCCCTGCTTGCTCCTTGCATAAGGATGTTCGTTATATTAGTTGGAGATATTTTTGTGTTTAAATGGTAACTGTTGGCTAGGCTGGATGAAGTCAATAACGCAGCTCTCCTTGTTCTTCTCAGGGCCAGGATTTCACTCAGAATTTTTACACAGAGCTAAACTGTAGAGGAGGGGAGAAAAAAAAATTGCCTGTCAAGTTAGAAAGGAATAATTAGATTGTATTGAGCAGGGTAAAACTATTTTCCTTGGTCTCTTTTTGTTTCTTACTTGCACCTTTGTTTCTCCGCTACTGACTCTGTAGTGTTTGTTGAGAAGGGAACAAATAGGGAACAGTTATATAACAGTGTGTTAAAAAGCTCGTTTGTGATATGTGTTATTTAACTTCATTTCATCATTGTAAAAATAATTTGTTCAGACTTTTTTGGTATAATTAAATAAATGCATGCTTTAACTCTTTCCTGTTGCAGTCTGGTTTAACAATTGCAGTGGTAAACCATAGATGGCTTTTTCATCCACCTCTGGTTCACTTTATTGTTCTGTTCTTATCAGGGTGGGACAGATGGAAGCTGACTGCTCAGCTCAAGGTAACCTGCAGAAACTCCTGTTGTGCCAAGTTGATAAAATCCCAGATGATCATCTGTGGCATATTGCTGGATAGGTACAGAACGCTTGCCACATATGATATTTAGAGGGTTTTTTCTGCTTTTTTTTTTATTTGGTTTGTTTTTTTTTTTTTTTTTGTTTTTTTTTTTTTTTTTGCATAATGCTAAACGTAGAAGCAATGGACAAAATATGGGTGTTGCCATGTTAAGAATGACAATATTTGCAATTAGTCAACCGGAACACCTGAGTGTTTTAATGCCTTTAACAACTACTAAAAGCAATGCACTCTTCAAACAGCTGCAGAACCAAGGCTCGGTACTTGTAGCATCACAGAACATTTCAGGTGGGGAGGGGTCTAATGCCTATCCCAGCTCAGGGTCAGCTAGGGCAGGTTGCTCAGGGCCATGTCCAGTCAAGTTTTGAGTACTTCTAAGGATCTGAGAATTCATAGTCTATCTAGGTACTCTGTTCCTCTACATTTGAAAAGTTGTTTGTTTTTTTTTTTTCTGATGTTTAAATGGAAAGGAATACAATGATTTGTATTTCAGTTTGTGCCCATTATCTCTTGTCTTGTCACTGGACACTACTGTGAAGAGCCTGTCTCAGTCTTCTTAACTCTCTCCCACCAGGCATTTGTGCACATTGATAAGATACCCGAGCCTTCAGCTTCCATAATGTGAAACGTAGAAGTGTTCTGATTTACTGACAATGATTTTTTTTCAATTATTTTTTAAAAAAAGTATAGATAGCACAGGTGCAGAATATGAAGTAAGGTCAAGGTGTAGAAAGAAGTCCTAGTTTAACTGTAAGTTTCTAGTTTTCATTGGTTTTTTGTAATGGTGATATTTTAGACACCTTGTATGTAATGGACCTGCTGCTGTTGAATTCAGTGGGAATAGAGCTGGCCTTGTAGGATTAATTTTTTAAATTATGGAAGTAACCAGGAATGGTATCATAAGGAATGACTCTGGAAAAAGAAAAGATTATTTTCTACTAGGAAAAGATGAGTTCTCTGGTGGAAAAGGGGAAGGTAGTTACTGCCTGACAGTGTAGACATGCCTGAGGAAGTTATAAGCCCGACGGGTTACACAGCAGCAGTGATCCAAGTGCAGCATCACAGATCTCAGTGAGAGCTAGTGTCATCTGCCAGCGGTTGTTGGCTTTGGTTTACATGCCTGTGCGAATGCATTTGGGAGTGAGGGTCCTAGGTCTGGAGAACACCCAAGCCAAACTCAGTAAGGAAGCCCTTCCAACTGATTGCACTTATCAAATGGAAGGGATTGAGTTAATCCTGCTGCTGTTACTGCTAATGTACTACAAGAAGCTTCTGGCAGTGCTTGGAGAGAGGCTGGCCGGTGTTCTGCTGAAGAACTTCCAGGGAGTTGCTCCCACCCTTTTGGTGCATAATTTCTTTCCAGCTCCATAAAGTAACTTTAAGCTGGGGTGGCACTCTCTCCATCAAAGCTGCATGAAGGGAGGTAATTGTATGTTGTTAACCTGAAAGGTTGCTCACCGGAATGTGTTTTGGATGTTGGGTGGATTAAGGCACTTCAGCTAAGCACCTGGAATTACGTGTCATGAATACAGGCCTCCAAGCATAACTGACAGGATATATTCGTGGGAAATTTCCACACACTAATCTGTCTGATCATCAAAACCCTCATTCATGGGAACTGCCTGATCATAAATTACTAGCCATTGATCCTGCACTAGTTCTGTGCGTTGATAGCTATTCTTTCTATAAACTGCTGAGGGGCTATCATGGATGTAACTGCAGCCCTCTGTTCCAAGTGAGTTACAGATGACTTTCTGTGCAGTTCCCCATGTTAGAAGTTTGGTTATGTCTACATAATTTTTCAGCTAATAAACTTGGCTTTGTGAAGGAAATGCAATCCATGTGCTATAATATTTCTTTCTGACTGCTTTAAATGTGGAAGAATGCCTTCAGCAGCTGTGATTATTTAGGATTTACCGAGGTGTTTGGGCAATTCTTTGAGACAGCTTTGTGCAGTTATTAAACCTATTGTCAGTTCACACCAGTGGCGATTCCCTGGTTGGTTAGGTTGTGTTGGTTATTTTTTATACTGGATTTCTGGGATTGTGGGAAATAGAGAGTACTGACGTGGTGTTACTGAGGAAGAGCATTTTGTTTTGACTACACCTTAAACTGCATTGCCAAAGGTAAATGCCCAGGGTTTGGGGACGTGAGCCAAGATAGGTTAAGGTTAATGAGGTCATCATCCTTCAGTAAATTTATCCACGTGAGTTTGTGCTGGTTTTGTAGCTCTCATCAATCAGTATTTGAGATAATTGTCACAATAGGCTTTTCTAGTATTTTATTTGTGGGTGGGGTCATGCTGTACCCTTTATTTCCTAGGGAGTGGTGTGGCAGTGCAATTCCTGTGTACTGGTAAAGAGGAAAAAAAAAAAAAAAAAAAGATTAGGTGAGAAATGTGCACCTTGATGATGGACGATTACAGGCTGATTTCTTAACATGAGGGATCCTACTCTGTTTGCACTCTAGCTTTCCAGCTAACCACTGCTTAATTCTTTCTGTATTTTTACCCTGGCATGGACTTATGTGAGGATGGAGTACAAAGAACTAGAAAACTTAACATAATGAAACTGAAAATCCTCAGACGGTGTCTTTCTCTCTCACTTCTTCCTCACACCTTACAGACTGCGCTTAGCACCCGCTGCCTCCCAGGGTACCAGCCCTCTGGTACTCGTGGAGACTCCCAGCGACTTCTTCCTGCCACAAGGCATCAAGCCTTCAATCATAAAAGTCTCTGGGGAAAATCTGCTCCTTTTCTGGGCTGTCATGGAACTCTCCTACAATCCTGTTACCTTGTTCTTTTCCAGTTTTGAAGACCAAGATAAATATAGAATTAAAAATGTAGTAGCAAGTCCCATTTCTTTGATGGACTGAGGGACAAGCGATGGATTTGGCTGCGAGGTGCTGTGTTCTTCATCCCATTCACATCACCGCTGTCAACTCTGAGCTTTCAGAACTGTCACGTGTGATTTAAGTTTACTTCAGATTTACATTCAGAAATATCTGTGATTTTTTTTTTTTAATTTTTGCGAGAAACATTACTGTAAGAAGAAAACAAACAATACATCATTGCCACATAGTTCAACTATCTGCCTTAACCCAAGGGTCACTTCTTAGTGGGAATAAACAAATATCAAAGACAGTAAAAGGCTTAGTTTTATATGAAAAACAGGCTGAGAAGGGCGATGAATTTGTGCAAAATTTGACTAAAATGTGCAAAGGGAGAGGACATCTTTCTTCAAAAACATTATATGTGTGCAGAGTAGGCTTGTTTGTAAATTAAAAGAATAACCACATCTTTACAGGTTTCACAAATGATATCCATGAACGTCTGACGCTGGTAACAAATGACTGTTGTATGTCTTCCCCAAAATACTTGCTGTGACTGTGATTGCAGCTCTAATTATGGCATAACAGATGCAGTGTTGGATAGCACCCGCCTTCTTCAATATTTGTAGCTCCCTTTACTTTTACATGAGTTATTTCTCTTTTTAGTGTAGAATTTACTACTGCTAGCAGTAACAAAGAAGTCACTTAAAGTAAAAAAAAGAAAGGATTTTCAGATTGTTACACTGCTTACATTGTTGTTGTGCTGCAGATGTTTGTTCTCTTAGCAGACAGCGTGGCTGTGGGAGAGGGTATTCATGCTTCGTTGGGTCCTTTCCACTTTCTCCAACCTCTCCTCTGCTGAGTAAGCAGTTAAAGTGACTCTTCTTTTGTTCCCCAGCCTTTGCTACTGTTTGAGAAGGACGGCAAGTTACTTGGCTATTTTGTTCAGTTGTACATGGCACAGTACTTTTTTTTTTTTTTTTTCCTTTTTAAGGTATTCACTAGAAGAAATAGCAGCATGTTTTGCCATTCTCACATGCATTTACATGTGAATGTTGCTCTGTTATTCTTTCAAAGCGAGGAGGAGGTGATTTATTTTAATAGTATAAACTATTGCCTTACACTGAGCCAATCATGCTGCCCTTGTCTGTTGTAATACTGATAGTGAATCATCTCTTTGATGTTGCAGTCATGGCCAAAGGCCTTGCTCCTGTGTATGAGGTTTGGGATGAGGAGAGGTGGGGTGGGCGGAGGGGAGCAGCGCCTCAGGCCCTGGGGATGTGGGATGCCTGGGCAGGGCCGGGTGTTTTTTCCCTGACCCTCCAGCCATGCAGGGACAAGCACTGGTGCCGTGTCAGGGGTTGTTTGGTCATTTCTGAGGAAGGGAGGACACGATCCTTTCTTCACAGAAATGTTCTCAGCCTCTTTCCTCTACCACTCTCGTAGTTTCTTTGTTCCTCTACTTCAATAAACCAAATACCCAACCTCTGCTCAACAAGTGTCCCGGGCCAGGGCCAGTCTACTAGGAGATAGTTATCTTTTTGGGTGTGCATTTTTCAACAAGCCTTTCACCTCCGAGAGCTCAGGTGGAGGATGGAGAGGACAACTGCTGAGCCCTGGCTGCCCAGGGAGGGGGTAGGTGCCCCAGCCCTGCAACTCGTCAAGGCTGGTCTGAGCCACCGGCTCTAGGGGAAGGTGCTGGGGGCTTGGGCAGAATTACTGTGCAGGGTCCCTTACCTCCTTCTCCCTCCGGTGCAGCACCTCCTCCTCGACAGTCCCCGCCCCGGGGCACAGTTCGTAGGTGGCAGTTCACCATCCCCCCGCCCCGCCGGGGGTCCCCGGGGCTCCTCCATCCCCCCCTCCCCGCCCCGCCGGGAGTCCCGGGGGCTCCGCCATCCCCTTCCCCGCCCCGCCGGGGGTCCCGGGGGCTCCTCCATCCCCCCCCTCCCCGCCCCGCCCCGCCGGGGGCTCCGCCATCCCCGCCCCGCCGGGGATCCCGGGGGCTCCTCCATCCCCCCCCTCCCCGCCCCGCCGGGGGCTCCGCCATCCCCTTCCCCGCCCCGCCGGGGGTCCCGGGGGCTCCTCCATCCCCCCCCTCCCCGCCCCGCCGGGGGCTCCGCCATCCCCTTCCCCGCCCCGCCGGGGGTCCCGGGGGCTCCTCCATCCCCCCCCTCCCCGCCCCGCCGGGGGCTCCGCCATCCCTTTCCCCGCCCCGCCGGGGGTCCCGGGGGCTCCTCCATCCCCCCCTCCCCGCCCCGCCGGGGGTCCCGGGGGCTCCGCCTTCCCCGCCCCGCCGGGGGTCCCGGGGGCTCCTCCATCCCCCCCTCCCCGCCCCGCCGGGGGTCCCGGGGGCTCCGCCTTCCCCGCCCCGCCGGGGGTCCCGGGGGCTCCTCCATCCCCCCCGCCCCGCCGGGGGCTCCTCCATCCCCCCCTCCCCGCCCCGCCGGGGGTCCCGGGGGCTCCGCCATCCCCCCCTCCCCGCCCCGCTGCCACGGCAACGCCGCTGCGCCCGCCCCCGGCGGGTCCCACCCTCGGCAGGGGCTGGGCGGCTGGAGGCTCCATGGCACGGCTCGGAGCCGGCAAACCTGCTCGCTAGGATGAACGAAGAGGCAGCCCAGAAGAGCGACGGCGGGGAGAAGTGCAACGGCAGTAACCAGAGGAGGAAAAAACCCAAGAAGGTTGTGGGGTCGGGACCCGAGGGCGGGGAGCGGGGCAGGAGCGGAGGGTCGGGGCCGGTGGGGCACGGGGGGGGCAGTGGGCGATGCGAGTGGGCTGCAGCCGCTGGGGCCGTGCCCAGGTGGGCAGCGGGGGGGGGGTTCATTGCTGCTGGCTCGGTGGCCAACCCGCTGGTAGTCTGCAAGCGAGGGGGTGCTCCCTGTCTTGACAAGGGGAATTGATAGTGTTGTGATAACGGAACCGGAGGTCATGCAGTGGGGTTTTGGTTTGGTTTTTTTTTTTTTTGGTAAACAGCTGTTTGTTTTGTTCCCTTGGAGTTGGCTTCATTGGGCAGTGGATGCTTCTCAGCACAGGTTTCCCTGTGATCCCCTTAAGCAAGAGGGCAGCTTGTTTTGGCAGAAGGAATATAAAACCTGTACGTTATGGCTTTGACTTGTGTGCTTCTGTCTTTTTTTCTTCAAGCAATACAGATGCAGGTTTACAAACCTTTAGTTTACTCTTCCAGAGATGTTCCTTAGATTGGGCTATAAATGATTAGATATGTTGCTGGTTTTTGTACCGTCTATAGTAATTCAGTGATGCTACTGAAAAATAATTAGGTAAAAATGTGAATTGTCCAGCCACACCCTGTTTCCAGGGCACTTTGTCTGTGTGTGTAGTCTCTCTTTCATAAATGGTTGATTTGCAAGGTGTAGTGTGCCTGCTGTTTCAACCCCTTGCTTGAGGTAATTTCTTTTTAATGGCTTTAATTGTAGGCAACATTTATTTCTGTTTGGGTTTTCTCTCTTTTAAGAGGAAAGATGTTGGTGGTTCTGCATAATTATGGCATAAACTGGTTTACAGCTATTTCCCCCCCGCTTCCTTCTTTAATCTTAATTGGTATAACGTGAGTTACCCCACTGAAATGTGTGGGACTATTTGCAGGATGAAGAATAATTTAATCCATGCAAAGTATATTCACTGATTAATTCTTCAGTCCCTTATTTTGCATAGAATTTGCATTTTAATCAACACTGAATACGAGCAAGACAAATTGCTACAAATGGAAATAATATGTAGAGCTGCAAATAGGTGCTTATGGAAGGACTACTGCAGGGGTTCTGACCTGGTGAAGAAAAGCTGGTTTGCAATAGGTGACACTGTTAGGCCCCATTTTATCACAAAGGGAAGATTCTGTACGTATCACCGTAAGGGCATGGGATTAATCCAGTCTGAGCAAGAAATTGAACAAAAACATCCTCACCCCACCCCATTGTGCTTGGAATATTGCCTGGATCTCCACACAGTGGGGGATTTTATATAGCATGTTGGCCTTATTTAAGCACAACCGAGCAGCAGGGGGAATATCTACTTTGTTTTAGCTCTGAATTTGAAAGGTTTATTTGTGGGGGTATGGAAATCCATAGGAGGAAGCAAAAATCAAATGATCAAGTGCATACCCAGTGTTTTCAACTGACTCTTGGATAACCTGCGAACAACATTGTACTAGGGGAGAGGTTTTGAAGATCTAAGAAATCGAAGTGGGTGTTTCCATCTTCTCTTTTTTATCCGCTTGTACGTGGTTTATTGCTTTGCCATTATTTTCAAAGTAAAGTGGCCCAGAGCCTTTCAACGGTGAAACACAACTACATGCCACTGCTGCCAAATGAATGCTTAGAAAGCATCTCTTAGATTGAGTCTCCACATTCAGAGACTTCCAACAGCTGATCCATCTTAATTTTTCAAAAATGTAATAAATGTTTGGGTATCTCTTTAAAATTATGTTTTACAAGTAGGAAATATTAATCGAGCATTTTCAATTGACGAATGTAAACCAAAAAATTAGTAATTGCTCAGATTGGATTCAATAGATGTTGGTGGCTCATGTCTGGTATTGGATTAGCTCTCATGAAGCTTTACCCTTGGCAACTTCATAAAGAAATATAGTTCTAGGTTCTAATATTCCTTTTTAAATTCTAAGAATAATTTTCTTAATACCTAAAAATAAACAATTTTTTGGTGAAAAAGAGACACCCTAGAATAGCTAAGAGAATGAGAATTCCTCTGTGTTTTGACTGGGTAGGCATGATTTCTTCAAGAGATGAAAGTGTCATGTGAAAGAGCTCCAAAATCAAAAGTAATGTAGCCTGTTTTCTGATCCTGAGCTACTTTTGCTGAACGAAGCTGCATTGCGCCATCTGACATGCCCTCTATCTGTTCTGTGGAAGTTGATCCCTTTTGTGTGGATAATTAAATATTAATTGAGTCAGATGAGTTTGGTCTATGTATTGGGAGAGACAGAGAGAAACGTATCTTGGATATAACGTTTAGCTGGATCTTCTATACTCCAGGAGGGTGTCCTACCTAGGAAGTGATACAGGGTTTTCCCTAATTTTCGGCGGTTCTTCAGGTTTATTTTTGTGCACGTGCACTTTAAAATGGAACAAGGTGGGGAAAAAGTGACATTTTTGTAAAATGGAGAAAATGACTACCCGCCCCAAACCAAATTTAATCCTTTTGGTGATGCTTGTGGCTTTGTGTGCTCTGGTGAGTCAGTGGGATGCCTTAATAGATTTGTGAATCCAGCAGTAGAGTTGCATCCAGTTTTCCCATGATACTTCACCTCCACGTGATAACCATGATATGGTGAAATCTGCGTTCCTGGGGAAAAAATAACACTAAATTTCTGTGTTCATCCAGTTCTAGTGTCAGACAGCATAGGGTGCATTCTCCAGGACAAACAGCCTTGTGCTGTTGCTGGTGTAACTGCGTGGGAACCTGGGGAGAACAGCACTTGGTGTGCACTGGTCCTCTCGTCTTGGTAGCCTGTGTACCGTCCGTGTTGAAGGAGTGGCATAGCAAGTGAATGTGCACTTATAATACATTACTTATTTGAGGCTGCCTTCTGTGTTTTCCAAGTGTGTTGTGAAGTGTCCAAGTATCAAATTCCTATAGTTCCTCTCAAGGATGTTTTTGTCAACATAGAGTGTTTTGGGTGAAAAACAACTGCTGTTGGTCATCATGTAGAAAATTGAGCATATTCCTGTATTTCATACTAAAAGCACTGATGGCAAAGGGGGTTTCCAGAAACCACAGGTTCTTACTCCCCTGATCATAAAGCACACAAAGTTGATGGGTTGATGCAAAAATAGTCCATTTTAGCTTACCGAAGAATTCCAGTCTTGTTACTTGCATTGCTCATTCTTTAAGAGAAGTTAAGAGGCTGGAATCAGGCTCATAATCTAAAAGACTTGGAGGTAGTTGTGATGCTGATTTAAAGGAAGATAAATGAGACTTCATAAGCTAAGCATTATCTCCTATTTTAAATGTATCTATGGAAAAAAATGAAATTGGATGTATTAGGTGGGGTACTTCCAGTGGAAGTTACATGCTTGCTAATGTAGTCATTACAGTGTATAAGCTAATGCTTTTAATTAATGTTGATTACTTAAGGCTATTCATTCCATGCATAAGGTGAGATTTTGGTATACAAGCACAATGTTGGTCACCTGTGTTCAAGAATCCAAATGTCCACAAAGCACTCAGAGGAGGATTGCTGGAAGAGACACCCTGTCTTATGCAAAAGTTACAAGTTTGGCTTTAGTGTGCTAAAGCAAAAGGCTGTCTGAGGGGGAAAGGGAACGGGATTCTTCAGCGGCCTTCTAGTAGGTTGAACCAGGTCAAGAGCCAGAAGAAAGCTGATTAATCATGAATGAGATGTAATTTCTCTAACATATCACTAGGCTGGATTCAGTGGCAGGAAGTCCCTCTCGCTCCCATGTTCCTCTGTTTTCACCCACGTCATTTACAGTGCCGTAATAATGTTACACAACAGTTTAATTGATGGTAAATGCGGCTAATTAAGTCTTTTATAATGTTTGTTTACCTGGTTATTTCGTTCTTCCAGCTACCAAATTGAATGCCATCAGAATAAATATGTGAACCAGTGTCCATCTCTCCCTAAAATCAGTATGGGGGCTTGTATGACAGCGGTTCCAGGCTGCTGGGTGGTGGTTCCTCTAAATTGCCTTCATTTTGCTCTTGCCAAGTCCCACTTAGCCTTCTCTGCTTGCTGCTTTTTCCCTCGCTATCCCACTATTACTGGTGACAGACAAATAGCTGTGGCAGCACTGCTATTTGCTGTACTGTTTGATGATCCAGCTGAGATGAAACCAGAGTAT